CCGTCAGGGGCAGGGCCCGGCGCCGCCGCTCCCTGTGTTTTTCTACCCCGGGTCATTTGTTTTACAAAGAGCACTAAAGCTTAAACTGAGCAGTGTCACAGAGGACGAAACTTTATGTGAATGTTAGGTGTTATGTGCGTAGAAGTAAAGCGGTGAGAGCTGGAGGCCTTGCCGCAAGCACGCAGGTACAAGATTTAAAAGCCAGACAATTAATGGTATAGCCCTCACTTCAGCAAAGGCCCAGTGTGTTAATCTGTTGCGTGTGCATTACTTACTACCCTCTGTAGACCATTTATTTTAAGTCGTGGGTGGTTTTATGCATAGCAGCTTTTATTGTAGCAGCTGTGGACGCCCGTGCATTGCAGTGGGATTGGAAGGATCTCGGCAGCGGCTTCTGTAGGAGCACACACTGCCTCCTTATTCTTACATGGCCAGGCAGCCTGCACGGATTTGAATTTCACTGAATTTTTAGAGTTGGAAGGGACCATAGAGATCATCTAGTCCAACTCCCCTGCTGAAGCAAGATTGCCTAGAGCTTGTCAGAGCATGTTACTCAGGTCTGCATCCAGGCAGGTCTTGAAAATCTCCAGAGAAGGGGACTCCACACCCTCCCTGGGCAGCCTCTTCCAGGGCTCTGCCACCCTTAATGCCTTTGCTGTACCACAGCCATTGTCACGCCTTTGAAATTCCTCGTGTTTATATTCTTGATGGGGGAGAAAAAAGTCTGGCAAACTATTCAGTTGTCATTTTTTAGCATGATGACATTTTCATGTAAGTATCTGAGTCCCGAGCGAGAGCAGGGTCTCGCAGGACAAAAGAGAACAGCTTCAGCTGGGAGCTTCATCTCTGCCCGGCCGGGACAGAGCAGATGGTGGGGTGAGACCAGGGCCCCACAGCAGCAGTAACAGGATAGCTAACTACAGGCATTCTGCTACTTCCAATTATTTTTTAATTTTTAAGTGGATGTTCCCCTTGGTCGTCAAGGGGAAACGAGTCTCCAGCATGAGATAATTATCTCTGGATAAAGCTGGGAATGGAGACAGACAAAGACACCTGGACATAACAAACGTTTGATTAAATGCAGCCTCTCATAACCCTTTTAAATTGATGTGATTTAAACTGACAAGGAAGAGCAGTCAGAAGGGACTGTTCCCATGGGGGAAGGGCAGAGAAGAGGTGACAAAACAGCCCCAAACAGCCATGGCAATGAACTGCTCCCCGCTCGATTTCCTCACCTATTCCTTCTCTCCCCGGAGGCTCTGTGCAGGTTTCAATACAACCAGGGTGATTTGGAGACAAATGTTGTTTTCTGTGGCGCGTTGTTAACGAGACATTCACACACATCACCTTCATTCAGAAAGATGCTGCTGTTTGTAGGTATTTAATTTTTCCATCCGATGCTGGAGGGATAGATCCCAGATATTCATATCTGTACGATGAGAATCCCTCCGACACCACGACTGGCAGATCTATTGTTCCTCTCCCTTTGGTTTTGGCCTGTTCTGATGGGGCTGTGTCCCATTTAGGTCAAGCTCCTGCAGCTGAATTGATTGATCTAATGAAAGGTTTTGTTTCTCCCTTAACCCTTATTGCCATAGAAGATCTTAACTGCTACTAACTTTGTTCTGAGCTCTCTGTGTGTTGTGTACTCTGCTATGAGTCAGTGTATAAATAGCAATCCTCCTTCGGGCCTCGTTTTACCTCAGTGACTCTCAAGTACTGAATTCACCTCCTCGACGCTCACGTGTCAGTCCAGCCAAGAGGAATCTGCAGTTCTGCCCTGACATCGCTTTGCTTTCACTTGCAGTAAGATCCAAAGGAAGAATTCCTGCTCCAAACAGCCTTTGGAAATCCGAACAGTTCATCTGAACACTCTGCAGGCAGAACAGGTCCTGGGAAAGGATTTAGCCTAGTAAAACAAGTGGAAAAGACCTCCTTCTCAGCTGTAATATTAAAAACATAACTGGTGCTCGTGAAGGGATAGAAACTCCCTAGTTTGGGGTCATCAACAAACCTTTAGGTTTTGGGACTTAGAAGAAAACGCTTTCTAGGGAAAACTCTTGCTCCCGTATTTACTGAGCACGTATTTTATTCCCCCAAGACAGGGCTCGCCATGTTTTTGTCCCTGTTACGAAGTGCACATTACACAGTGGATTTTAACTCCTTGAAAGACTGTGATAAACCACTCACGGAGAATTTGCATCGGGTTCCAGAACTGTCAGGTTGGGATATCTTTTAAGAATACATTCATTATGGATTTGACCACTGCTACTGTAAAGAAGCACCTGCTTTGTCTTATGTCTTTAGCTTCAAAGGATTTGCTTTCATATCTGCCAAGACATGGAATTATACAGAACAAATCTTGGTTTACATCATATTTATAAAATATTTTTCAAGTGAGATAACCTCATCCTCCTCTCCCAGATGTGTTCAGATCAAGACAGTGAACTTTCTCTGTTCTCTGCAGCACGTGTGAGTCACCCTCCGGAGTGTGGTATGTATTTGTGTTTACACTCCCATGGAAACTGTGTTTGTTCTCGGTACAGTGAAGCACATCCCAGTGAAAGGGCCATTGAGATTAGCACAGACAGAGACTTTATATTCACCACCAAAAACTGACTCCAAACACCCCGTGCATTCATTTTCCCTTTGAAAAAAAAAAAAAAAAAAAAAAAAAGAAGCTGGATGGCAAGTTACCAACGAGTAGCAAGTCTTTGGGGCGGCGGAATCTTCTTTGTTGCTTTAGTAATCAGCAAAGTCTTGGATTTTTTCCAGCGAGCCTGGTGCGTGGACTTGTTACAAATAATGATGATGATGATGATGGGTCTCACAGTGCCCTCACGTCAATGCTCTTCTGCTGAATGGATTTGGTTCCTTGTCAGGCATGTCCTTCAGAAAGATCTAGAGGAACTGCACAGATTTCAGATGAAATCTAAGGACTACGGGGGGTCACTGCCGATGCACACACAGAGGCAGCTACAGATAAAAGCAAGCAGGCATCAGGCTATCGGTTCAGAGAAGCTGTTTCAAGTACCCCTGTGAGAAGCTCCAATAGTTCACTTCTGTCTTTTTCCTCCAGATAAATAAATATCAGCCCATTTTAATCTTGGAGAACAGCTTCAGCTGGGAGAATCCATCTCTGCCCGGCCGGGACAGAGCAGATGGTGCCTTTGCTGTACCACAGCCATTGTCACGCCTTTGAAATTCCTCGTGTTTATATTCTTGATGGGGGAGAAAAAAGTCTGGCAAACTATTCAGTTGTCATTTTTTAGCATGATTACATTTTCATGTGAGTATCTGAGTCCCGAGCGAGAGCAGGGTCTCGCAGGACAAAGGAGAACAGCTTCAGCTGGGAGAATCCATCTCTGCCCGGCCGGGACAGAGCAGATGGTGGGGTGAGACCAGGGCCCCACAGCAGCAGTAACAGGATAGCTAACTACAGGCATTCTGCTACTTCCAATTATTTTTTAATTTTTAAGTGGATGTTCCCCTTGGTCGTCAAGGGGAAACGAGTCTCCAGCATGAGATAATTATCTCTGGATAAAGCTGGGAACGGAGACAGACAAAGACACCTGGACATAACAAACGTTTGATTAAATGCAGCCTCTCATAACCCTTTTAAATTGATGTGATTTAAACTGACAAGGAAGAGCAGTCAGAAGGGACTGTTCCCATGGGGGAAGGGCAGAGAAGAGGTGACAAAACAGCCCCAAACAGCCACGGCAATGAACTGCTCCCCACTCAATTTCCTCACCTATTCCTTCTCTCCCCGGAGGCTCTGTGCAGGTTTCAATACAACCAGGGTGATTTGGAGACTAACGTTGTTTTCTGTGGCGCGTTGTTAACAAGACATTCACACGCATCACCTTCATTCAGAAAGATGCTGCTGTTTGTAGGTATTTATTTAATTTTTCCATCCGATGCTGGAGGGATAGATCCCAGATCTCCATATCTGTACGATGAGAATCCCTCCGACACCACGACTGGCAGATCTATTGTTCCTCTCCCTTTGGTTTTGGCCTGTTCTGATGGGGCTGTGTCCCATTTAGGTCAAGCTCCTGCAGCTGAATTGATTGATCTAATGAAAGGTTTTGTTTCTCCCTTAACCCTTATTGCCATAGAAGATCTTAACTGCTACTAACTTTGTTCTGAGCTCTCTGTGTGTTGTGTACTCTGCTATGAGTCAGTGTATAAATAGCAATCCTCCTTCGGGCCTCGTTTTACCTCAGTGACTCTCAAGTACTGAATTCACCTCCTCGACGCTCACGTGTCAGTCCAGCCAAGAGGAATCTGCAGTTCTGCCCTGACATCGCTTTGCTTTCACTTGCAGTAAGATCCAAAGGAAGAATTCCTGCTCCAAACAGCCTTTGGAAATCCGAACAGTTCATCTGAACACTCTGCAGGCAGAACAGGTCCTGGGAAAGGATTTAGCCTAGTAAAACAAGTGGAAAAGACCTCCTTCTCAGCTGTAATATTAAAAACATAACTGGTGCTCGTGAAGGGATAGAAACTCCCTAGTTTGGGGTCATCAACAAACCTTTAGGTTTTGGGACTTAGAAGAAAACGCTTTCTAGGGAAAACTCTTGCTCCCGTATTTACTGAGCACGTATTTTATTCCCCCAAGACAGGGCTCGCCATGTTTTTGTCCCTGTTACGAAGTGCACATTACACAGTGGATTTTAACTCCTTGAAAGACTGTGATAAACCACTCACGGAGAATTTGCATCGGGTTCCAGAACTGTCAGGTTGGGATATCTTTTAAGAATACATTCATTATGGATTTGACCACTGCTACTGTAAAGAAGCACCTGCTTTGTCTTATGTCTTTAGCTTCAAAGGATTTGCTTTCATATCTGCCAAGACATGGAATTATACAGAACAAATCTTGGTTTACATCATATTTATAAAATATTTTTCAAGTG